AAAGCATTTAGGCTTCAGCATGAGTACTACCGTCTCTTTCAGTTAGATTTATAGTGAAATTCTGGAGTAAAGAAAACAGAGCTGAAGGATTTGGAAAATTCTCAGCCTGAACAGGGATGAAATAAAGAAAAAGTATGCAATTGCTAAACAGATTTGCAATGATGATTTGCACCAGGACAAATGGAAAGGTCCATGAGGGCATTTCAGTTCAAGGCTGACCCTTCCATCATAGGCACAGAGACCAAGAAAGACAGAACGCTTTCAGAAAATGGATCCACTGATCAGGGCTCTCTTGGCATTCTGCTCTTGTCTTTCCAGTGAAAGCTGTCATGACACTACAGCTATAGTTCAAGTACTCTCAGGTGTGGCTCATGGCAGTGGACTTTGGTGACCATGTGGTGCTGATTCTGCAAGGGTACAGACTGCAAGAGCAATAGGGTTGTGGCAGCTTTCACCAAGATTTCAAAGCAAAACCTGTGAAGCCAGGCAGAAGATTCCTGCAGGGTGGAGTCATTTCAGGGATTCTCCACAGCCTCATGGGGCTGCAGGAGTTGGGTAATTCCCTTAAACTTTCTTTACCCTTTTTCATTTATTTTTTTTCTGCTTTGATCAAATCATTTCTAGTGACTTGTCTTTGACTTTGTTGATCTTCTTTTCTCCTTCATCTGGTCTTCTGTTAAGCTATTCTAATGGATTTTTTAGTTCAGTTATTGTGTTCTTCAACTCCATGCTTTCTGTTGGGTACTGTGTAATACTTTGTAATACTGTGTAATACTTTCCAACAATTGAAATTCTCACTTGTTTTCTTGATGTCAGTGAGCAGCATCTTTAGGAAAATTAAAAAAAAAAAAATTCTGTCAGATAAATCATATAACCTCATCAGCGTCAGTTTCTGGAGATTTTTCTTATTCCCTGATTGCAATATTTTTGCCTGGTTCTTCCTCTACCTTGACTCTCTGCATGATATTTGTGCATTAGTTAATCAGTGCCTCCTGGTCTGGTCTTGCATAGAAAAACCCAGTCAACCAGAGTGGCCACGGATTCTGGACCCCTTATCAATTATTTCTCTCCCAAAGGAGAAGCAGTTAGCTATGGCTCTTTTTCACATGCTCAGGACTGAGCTAGGGTGGGAAGAGTTTAGCAGCCCAAGTTGCCATCTCGATTCTTTCCCATGCTGCTAGGCTGTGGTGAATCCATTCAAGCTCCAGGATCAGGTCAGTACTCTGAGTACTGGTTGCACAAAACAACCCTTATGTATATTGGGCAAAGCTGTAGCTAAGGAGGTCTCTTTCTGATCATATGATGCTGTGCTGGGTGCAGGGCCTGCAGTGAGAGGAAATTTACTTACTGGCTTTGGTGAATCATATTTTCCTAGGGAGCAAGAGTGTTTCAATTAGTTTCTGATTTCTCACAAAGGAAATTTATCCATGAATTGTTGCTGAATAAGTATGTTTTGGAGGAAAGGAGAATCTAGGGCTTCCTACTCTCCCATATTTTTGATGTCATTCTCTCTGGTTGTTATGTATCTTGGCAACTTAGACATAACTGCCAGTGGAGATCCTGCTGAGCACACTGTTTCTGAACCCTAGCTTCTAACTAGAAATTGTGCTGTTAGGTTTCAGTGATAAGATAAAATCTCAAACACTGGAGGAAGCTGCAGCAGCCTAAGGTCAGGCTGTGGAGGGGGTCATCTCAGGACTTTCATCTGAGGATGCTGCATCCATGAGGTGAGAGAGAGAGGATGGAACCATCAAAAGGGAGGAAGTCACAGAGGGAGAGGAAACAAATAAGAGGAAGTGAGACACTAAACGTGCTGGAGAGGAAGTGAGAAAGGAGAGAAGATAAAGTTAGGAGAGGAGCAAGGAAGGAAGGGTGGAGAGGAGCCAGCAAGAGGAATAAGTAGCCTCCACCCTTCTCTTCCATTCCCAGTTATTTCTTGCTCTTTTCCTCTGCTCTGTCCTGGCTGGCAGGCACTGCTTTTGGCAGCCCTTTTGTCTTGTTACAGCTATGAAAGTGGGGAAGAATGCTGTTGCACAGGGGTTTGCAGGCAAACAAGCTAAAGGTGCTGCATCATTCTCAGCCCCAGGGCAGAGGGTGTGCCCAGCTCATGGGTGGGAGGAACTGCTGGATGGGCCAGAAGCACCCAACATATTCCACCCACCATGTGACCCCTCAGAGGTCATTTATGTTGTAACCCTTTTGGGATTCACAATGAAGTTCTTGGAAAAACTGGGTGTGTCTTTTTATAGGAATGAGGGTGTAAAGGAGTCCACATCCGGCTTCACAGTTAGGCTTGGGGAAATTCAACCACTGAATGTCAGGTTCACTGATGAAAACAAGGTGGATTGATCCTATTGCAGGAAGAAAAGGGACTCTGAGGGAATCTGAGGCTTGAGCAGCCCCCCAGGGAATGTTCTGATGTAGACAGTGCTTAGCTAAAGGAAGAACTAATGGTTCAAGAGAGAATCCCTTTTGAAAGTCTGCTCCATGCCAGACGTTGTCCAATGTTGCTAAGAATCCCCAGAGACCACATTGTGTCCTACAGACCAGTCCTGGGCTTCCCTTGGTCCCTCTTTGGAGATGTATCCTTGTTTGGTGGTCACCTTTATGGTCCTTGGACCACTTTTGCCCACTTTTCTGGCCCTCCCCTTATCTCTGCTCCAGGAACAATGAAACAGACCCCTCTTCCGTTTACCCAAAGCATAAGTAATGCTAAGATCAGACACTTTACAGGGTCTTCCCTTGAAGCTTGAGCGTGATCTGGGAGATCACAAGGCAGAAGAGAACAGCTGCACACTAGTTTTGTACACATTTGTATAATATCTAAGGAAGGATGGACAGATCCTGTGTAACAGGTGGGGTTTAGGTTGCTGGAGAGAAGGATCCAAAGGATACTTGCTTTCAGATCTAAACTTCTTGAATTTTGCACTAAAATTTCCAAACATGTTTATGTATCCAGTTTTCCAATTCACTCAACCTTAAGCAAGCATGAACCCAGGCAATGCTGTTTCTGCAACCCAGAATCCCTTCATAGGACTCTTCTTGCAACCCCAGCTTGCTGCCATCTTGCCACCATGTGGGTTCTCTATATCCTGAACTCCCTCCCTGAGTCTCCAGGGCTCCAACACATTGTCAAAGGAGAAGGAAGAGAAATAAGCCAACCCTATCAGGCTCCAGTTCTGCTTTTAAATCTTGAGACATCTCCTAAGATGTCCTTGGCCCCTGGGCTGATGGCCTCTTTTGCCACATGTGATATACCTCTCCTTGTCTCAAGATCTTTTCTAGAGGAGGATTTAGGCTTTACCTGCATCACCCATAGTTCCATTGGAGAGACAAGTGGTCAAATGGAAGAAAGCGAACTGTCCCTTCTACCTTTATAAAGTGGTTGAGATTGGGAGTGAGTACCATTGATTTTAATTCGTCGGCTCACTTCTCATTGACTGAATCTAGTCAGCTATGCTTAGACTTCTTGATGAAGCTCCCTATTTCACAATGTTTGCCCCTTTCCAGTACTCAGTAGATATTCCCATAATATCCCCATTTTTTTTCCTGTTCTTAGGGCACTTGGGGTGACAAGGTCAGGCCCCAGACTCTGCTGCCAGATTATCAATGGCTTCTGCATGCTTTGCAATGCAGCCAGCTGTTGCCAGGGCCAGCTGAGCTATTTATACTTAGCCAGTCAGCTGCCCTGGAGCAATGCAGGGTGATCAGTCTGACCCCTTGACTGACTTCTCTGGAAGCTGGTGGTGGAAGGATGCTTGAGAGGAGGTGAGCTTGCAGGCCTGGGGAGGCATGTAGGAACTCAGATCTGTCTGAAGTAGATCTGCTCAACACCTCACTGAGGTGCCTCCGAAATTGTGCGTGTTCCTTGACCAATACATCCTGAGGCATTGCAAGTTTCCTAAGGGATTGGGGTGATTGCCAAGCCTTGGGATTGGGAGTACCTTTGGGTTATCCAAATTGGGTAGTAATTTAGGTAAAGACCTGTGAGGGTAAAATAGTTGGCTCTGTCATTTCGGTGACCTGAGGTTAGATACAAATAGTCCAAATGTAATGCCCACCATCTTTACCATCCCATGCCTGTCCCCACTGCTACCTAGATGTCCTTCAGTGGATGAATGGATAAAAAGAAATGTGGCATTTATACACAATGGAATATTACTCAGCACTAAAAAAGAATAAGATTATGGCACTTGCAGGGAAATGGATGGCATTAGAGAAGATTATGCTAAGTGAAGTTAGCCAATCCCCAAAAAACAAATGCTGAATGTTTTCTCTGTTATAAGGGGGGTGACTCAAAGTGGGGTAGGGAGAGAGAGCATGGGAAGAAGATTACCTCTAGATAGGGAATAGGGGTGGGAGGGAAAGGGAGGGAGAAGGGGAATAGCAAGGATGGTGGAAGGAGATGGTCATCATAATACAAAATACATGTATGAAGATGTGAATTTGGTGTCGACATACCTTATAGACAGAGATATGATAAATTGTGCTATAAAGGTGTATTAAGAATTGTAATGCAAAAAAATAAGAGGTCCTAAAATATATAAACATTTGTGATTCAACATCACATGGATGGTGCTTGGAGATACAGGACTGGAGAGTCACTAAGAGTGTGAACACATATAGAAAATTAAAGTGGTTATAGGAGTGAGCCCTGGAGCACTTCTATATTAATTGATGAAAGAATCAAGAAAAAGTCAACCAGAAGACTGAGACAGGGTGGCTAATACTGTAGGAGGAATAAAGGAAATAAAGTGTGGTCTCCAAGTACAGAAAATATATTATCTAGACAGACTAACCCACTTTGTCAAAAATGCCACTTATAAGTCAAATAAGGACCATGTGAAAACAAACAAGAACTAAACTTTAATTTTTTGCATAGCAAAATCCAGATGACCTTGGGTATGATGATGAATTTTTAAATACATACCCAAAGCACAATGAAATAAAAGAATGAAAATTTTGACTTTATTAAATAGAAAAACTTTTATTTAGCAAGTAACATTATTAAGAGAATCAAAAGACTGTGAGATAATATTTGCAAATCACATATTGCATAAAAGACTCATACCCCAAACATACAAAGAATGCCTAAAATACAACCCAATTTAAAAAGTGCAAAAAAATAGACAAAAAAAAAATCTGAACACCTATCTCATTGAAGAACATACATGGATGATAAACAAACCTATGAAAGAGATGGTCAATTTAATTTTTTCATTGGGAAATGCAATTTAACACAATGAGATATCACCACACACCACTTAGAATAGCTAAAATTCAAAAACCTAACAATTCTTATTCATTGCTGTGAGAAAGCAGAATGGTAGAATTGCTTTGGAAAACAATTTGACAGTTTTTTAGAAAGTTCAGCAGAGTTTTACCACACAATCCAGAAATTATACTTACAGGCATTTACCAACTGAATTGAAAACTTATGACAACATAAAAATCTGTTCAAGAATTTTATAACAGCTTTTTTCATTATAACTGTAAACTAAAAATAACCAAGATATTCTTTAATAAGTGCATGGATAAAGTACGTTATATCTATGCAACAGAAGATTAGTCAAAAATAACAAAAGAAATTAAATATTAAGCCATGAAAGACACGATTGACTCTTATGTACATATTGATTAATGTAAGAAGCCAGTTCTGAAAATATTGCACACTAAGTCATTCTAACATGACATTATGAAAAGGAAAAATTTATAGTAATAACAAAAAAATAGTCAGTTGTTTTCCAGGAATTTGGGAGGAGAGAGGATGTATTTACTCAGAGTCGTGAAATATGTTACTCCACTTTTCATTCCCGAGACTGAATCCCTTACAAAAAAAAGGAGAAACAATTTACTTTGGCTCATGGTTTCAGAAGATTGAGTCCATGGTCAGCCAGCTCCATATTACTGCAGGCCTGAGGTAAGGCAGAACATTGTAGTGGACAGGTATGGTGGAGGACAGGTGCTCTGTTTGGGAAGGAGAGAAAGAGAGAGAAAGATTGAGAGGAAAGGGTCAGGGACATGATGAACCCTTCCAGGATGCTCCCCCCATAATGTACTTCCTCCACCAGATCCCTCCTTCCAATAGTCCATTTAGCTATCAATGGATTAATCCACTGATGAAGCCAGAGCCCTTATGATCCAATCATTGCCCCAAAGTTCCACCCCCAAACCTTGCTGCGTTGGGGACCATGCTTTCAACGCACAAGGATTGTGGAGGACAATCCATATCCAGACTGTAACAGGAATATTTTATAATGATAACTGAAATGGTAGATACATAACATTAAGCAGTTGTCAAAACCCAAAGGACTTCACACTTGAAGAGTGAAATCTTAATGTATGCAAATTTTTTAAAAAATAATGATTTAAGAGGTTAAGGGGTCCCAGGATACAAATGCAGACCATGACAAAAGATGCTTCACTATCTTTTAAACGGTATAAAACAACTTTGCTAAAAAGGGTGGGATAAAAGGTGCTGATCTAAGCAACTTTGGAAATCAGGAGAATCTAAAGGCAAAAGAAATGTATAAAAATACTGACTAATAAAGTTTTTCCCCGAGGAGGTGCAGGTTAATAATTCTGTTATTGTTGTACATATACATTGAAACTGATCAAAGTAAAAGGATGGGGAATGCAGGGAGTCAGGTTTCTCACTGTTGGAGTGAGAGTTTACAGATGAGCCAGGGAAGGAGGCTAAGATGATCATGAGATAATGGATTAGAGCTAAAGAATCCATGGATTTGTGTTTAGCTTAATATAGATACACATGTTACATATAGGAATAGTCTAGGTATGTGCATATACACAGCTTAGTATACACGTGTTTCCCTGTTCTGTCTGTCTAGAGATATGAGGAGCTATGATCCCCAGGAGCAATGAGCACACACAGATCTTGGTCCTACCCAGATCTTGGTTTCTGACACCATTCTCCAATAAGAGACAGTAGGACTTCTTAAACAACAGGCAGAGTCTAGGACAGGGACAGAAACATCCTATGGTGCCTAAAAAAAAAAAAAATTATAGGGCTAGAAAGTATGAAAATGCATCCCCCCCAAAAAAACCCACAATAATGAGGATCCGTCAAAATATCACTTTCAAATGATTTCATTTTATTTTATGTGAATTTCACCTCAATAAATTATTTTCAAAGGTCAACACAAAAGATTCTTATGCTGATATAATTGTTTGGTGTCTTGAGTATGGTGTTGGATACCTGGACTTATACTTGAGCTAACATTGTATACAACATGTACACACACAAACACACACACACACACACCCCTACATGCACATGTACACACACACACACACACACATACACACACACCTACATGCATATACACACACAAACATGCACAAGTAGAAGTAAAATGGAAAATACAAATAAGACCTGTAGGTTATATCATATCAATGTCCCGGTTAAAGATGTTACTTTAAATTGGGTAAAGAGTCAATATTCTCTATATATTGTTTCTTAAGTTGCATGTGAATCTATAATTATCTTAAAATTAAAAATTACATTTAAAAAAATCCCTCTTCCCATCTTTAATGACCCTCACCCTAGATGCTGCTGAGAAACTGAGAGAGATGACCTGGTTACCATCTCTCCTGCCTTGAAGACCAAGTGGATCTCAATACTAATAGGGTCTCCAGGAACTGAAGAAGCCTCCTATGACTCACCACCTATTATACTGGTGCCTGTTCACTTGATGTGGCCACAATTTTTCTCAAGTTACCTGATTTAATGCTTTTTTCTATGCTTGAGGATTAGCCTGGGCTCAAGATTTATTTATTTTTTCAGAGCCAAGTATTTTAATAGAGTTCAATATTACAGCTTAATACTGTCCATCTCAGCCAGAGTGACAATTCACACCATATTCACATTTGAACTGGGAGACATAAAGGAAGAATACAATTTTCTTACATTGTGCCAATTTCTCACCTAGGGAAAAATAAAGTACCAAGGGATTATTAGTTTGTTTTCCATTGTTATACAAAATACCCGAGGCTTGGTATTTTATAAAGAAAAAAAAAAAAGATTTGTTTAACACACAGTTTTGGAGGCTGAAAGTCCAAGATCAGGTGGCCCCATTAATTTGGCCTCTGGTGAGGGCCCCATTGGCCATATCACATCATGATGGCATAAGGCACAAGAGGGAGATATAGCACATGCTGAGACAGAAAGTCAGAGAGATTCAGGGGCCATACAATTTTTTATATCAATTTATATCAATTAATTTGCTCTTTTAGAAACTAAACAGTGTCTCACTAGAACCATATCAACTAGGTTCCACTTCTTACATGTTTCACCACCTTGACATTGCCACACTAGGGAACAGGCTTCCAGCACATTAACTATTGAGCTACATGCTCAAACCATAGCAAGCAGCATTCATTTTTAGGCATAAATCTTTTTCTTCAGAGAAGTAAAAATGACTGGTTATTCGGCAGCTTCTCAGCCTGCCTGACTCTGCTTTGGAATGAATACAATGTGTACCTAAGAGTGGAGGGCTATGTTAACTGCAGAGAGACCCTGCAGAGAGCCGCTTCCTCTCTCCTGACCTTACTTCTCTCATTTCCACTCTGTGAAAGTTAAATTGGTTCCTTTTGAAAGTCCCTCCAATTCAAAAGCCCTGTGATTCTTCCTCTCTGCCATTATGAATCCTAGCTTAGTAATTTAACCCCAGTGATCCCCAGACAATAGTGTATCCAGTTCTACAAAATACTAATGTAAATAACTAAAGCAAATAAAACCAGTAGGCTGCTGGAATTTTGATAGGGATTGCATTGAATTTATGGAGCAGCTTGAAGAGAAGTACTGTGGTACTTTTGAATGTTCTCACCCATGTACAATATACATCTCTGCACATATTTAGATTTTCAGTTTCCCTTAGCAATGTCTTATAGTTGTCAGGGTACAGGTCTAGCATTTCTTATCATATTTGTCTCAAAGCACTTAATTTCCTGTTATTCAAAGATATTTTATTTCAGTTTTGACTGTTCATTGCCAGCCGATAGCCATGCGATTCAGTTTTGTTCTTGTATCCTACATATTTGCTAAATTCATCCTTTACTTCTTCTTATCTGCTATTTATTTTGTTTGCATGCCTTATTGCCCTACTATGAACTACCTAGGTCTGAGAAACTTTTCCCCTGTGACCCTTCCTCAAAAAGGAATTGGCTTCCCAACTGGAGATTTGGGGCTATCTTCCCTAAGAGCAGAAATAAAGAGTGCTCTTCAAGTCAATGAGAATTTCATCAAGGGCTTTTGCAGGGATGCAAGAGGGACTCTGGCGATCTCTTCCTCTCACAGTCGACTTTTAAACACTGACTAAGGATGAATGGTACTTACAGCACAGGCCCCTAGACCAGCTCAGGCATATGAAGACATCTGTTGGGGCTCTGAGGTTTAATTCAAAGATAAATATAGGGTCCCCACAGCCCAGATTATGAGTCTATAACAACCCCTGCAAGGGCTCTTTACTTTAACATTTTATTAGGATAACAATGAGAACTGTGAATTATTAAACCTGCACATAACGTGAAAATTATGCAGAATTTATCCTATGCAATTGCTTTATCCTGGTTTTCCAATCAGGCTCCATGAATGTCACTCCACACCATATGGCTTTCTTGGTGTTTAGGAAGCAGCTCATTTAGGAAACGGCCATCTTCTCCATGACCACCACCTCCCGAAGCCTCCATTGACATCCAAAAATGCTCACTCTCATACAAAAGTCAAAGCCTAAGTGTTTTCATACTTCAACCCTGGAGCCAGAACATGGAGGCTCATCCTGATGTCCTAAGGCTTCCCCAAGCCTTCTTGAATGCAAACAGATGCAGAACTTTGCTGCTGCCACTATAGTCCGGATTGCACATTTGCTCAGATCACAGAGGTAGCTCCTGAGGCTGTGAAGGGACATTCTTTCATTCAGGATATCCTCAGCCCCAGGGGCTCCCTGCCCAAATGCACCTGATGGATGTAGGGTTCACCTGTAGCCTCATTTTAGAACTCCTGCTTTCTTCTCTCCTCGCTCAGTCCTCTCCTGAAAGCACTGTACACTGAGGTTAGAGGCAGCAGACAGTAAGGACAGTCTAACTTACAATAAAAATGTTTGCTTTTCTGTTGAGCTGAATGTCTCCTCTGGCTGCACACAATGAGGAATTATTCTATAATTATTTTGTGCTTAGTATAGATGAATCTACACAGAGATTTCCCATTGCAATGAAAATGCTTATATCCACTGTCTTTTCTTCCTCTATTAAAAGTATATAAAGTTTATTCTCCTCTTTAAATCGACTAGAAAGGTAAAGAATTAACAAATAAAGCAAGCTACTCAACATAAGGGTCTCAGTATCTTCATCTTTAAAATGGGAATCATTAACTCCAACCTGAGGGTTAACCATATAGGTGGAGTGGCTGCCACAATGGTCACCAGATGGTATGTGAATACTCGGAATCTCATTTCTGCTATTACCTGTGAGGTCTTGCAGAACCCTCACTCAGTATCTCTTCCTCTGGGCCATGCTGATCTCCCTGGCTCTCCATCAGTGGTTCAGCAGATACTGACCCCCAGGGGGAGCTTTGGAACTTTGTGGGACATTGGGGGTTATTATCAGCATGATGGGGGTCACTTATGCAATACACAGAAGGCTTCCAACTCCACTTTGAATATGCTACCAGATATTCACATAGGTGATAGACCTGTTTATGATTTAAACATCATGTCACATAAACACAAAGTGTATTTCCCCAGTTTCATATACAATTCAAACTGCAATAATTGTGAGACTCAGAGGAAGACTGGGTTCTTTAACAAGCATTGCTCTTCTGGGAAAATCCCATTTTAACACCAGTGCCCTTCCACAGGTATGAATCATCTTCAGCCCAAACCCCACCTGTGATTTCCACGTGACCCCCTGAATAAATAACTTCTGCATGTATAAGTATAGCTCTGCACTCTTACTTCAAAATGTCAAAGAAAAGTCTTCAACAAAATTACTGCCTTCTTTCTCTCCATCCACACTTATTCATTTTAAGTGGATGCAAACATCTGATTACTTCATTATGTGTTTTAATAAAGTCAGACCTGAATGAACATTTACATGTTATGACAAATAGCATTTTACTTTAGATTACTTTCCTTTTGTTTCTCCCTTTTCACTGTATTATGACCAAAGCCTCATTGTCTTTATAAAAAATCACGTGTATAAATAAGTGATGCTACCCCTAAGTGTCTTTTCAATGTAGTAAAGAAAATGTTATAAAATATTTTATACAAAGGGTATTGGTTCTGACAGGGTTGAGAAGCACTGTTCCGTATTACTTAATCCCCCCAATTATTCTGCTCTGGAGAAAATTCCTTTGATAAATGAAGGTTGGTATTAGATATTGATAGGAGATAAACTAACTTAGGGCTGAGGAGATTATGTGAACTAGACACACATTAAATATTTAGCTGCATTAGAACAGCCATGCCAGGGTCAGCCTTAGGTCTTGGGTACCTAGTGAGATCACAATTCCGCCCACCAGATGTCAGGTGTCAATTCACAAGCAGAAGCAAGACCTAATTTAGCAAGATTTTTTGGTTTCACTTTACAGCTGAATATTGAATCGTCTTCCGAAAGGGTAAACTATTGTTTGGGTGAACAGAGCAGTTGTCTCAAAGGTCATGCCCCTTCCCTCCTGATCATCTAATTGATGCTCAAGATGGATTGAAATGAGGATCATGAAACAAATGTATGCAGGATTGCACAAATACGGAAGGTCGTCAGGGCAAGAGGGGAGCCTGGCTGAGTTCAGTTAATACCTCTTTCATGGGCACCCTCAGCCACTTAAAGCTGTGCAGTCTGAAGAGGCATGACCTAGCTCCTGATAGGAGCCCTCTCCTCCTGTCTGGAACCCTGCTTCTGCAGGTCACAAATCTTGGTGCTGCAGGAGAGATGGGAGTTGTTTCCAAGGGAGGAAGTGCCCAGGTGCAGGACCCTTCATCCATCACAA